CACCTGGCCCCAACAGCCCACCCTCCACTCAACCCCCTCCCTACCCGCTCACTACCCACCACACTTCTTCAACGACCTATACCGACTACTACTATCAACTGAAGAGCAGTGTCTCACCATGTCGCGGGCTTCAGACGTCGAAAGAACATCTCGTAAAGTCTCGCACGAGGAGCCGGACGCAACAGCATGGGCTCAAACCCGGAAGCCAATATCAGAACCAAAGAGGCAGTCCCCTGCAGCTGCGGGCCCCGCCTTGTAAATCTGGAAACCAAGCAGAATGTATGCCAGGACTATGCAGCACCAGTCGACACCTTGAATTTGCAGTTCCCGATGCAAGGAGTACATAAGGTTTCATGCACTCGCCAGCTTCATGTGATCTTCAATTCTTGCAAGGTCCAACCCCCACCGTTACCATGCCATCAAGGCATAGGTCGAGTCATGAACCTGAACCTTGCCTGGCCATCCTTGTAATATGAACCGGCTGTATCTTAAGCATTGCACCATGTGCAACATGTGAACGACGTATGCTACGGCTTTAGCTAGCAGACCTTGGAACTGCCATGTGTTTTGGTGCGGTTTGGGTTGGTGCAGGCATGGTTTGACGTGCGGTAGTTAGTCACTACGGCCAATACCCTCGGTGTAAACAATGGAGAAACAACAACGACGCCTTTATATTGACATGCATACTGCATGCATGCCGGTTGTGACACATCCCGCAATAAAACGACATGTACTGACCGAATGCAAAGTAGCCGTTCCACACATTGAGATAGCGTCCGAGGAAGCCTCGCCAATCAGATCCTTGGCTACGGCATAGTTCTCAGCGGGGGGTTGGCTAAGCGGACCAAGTGGTAATCATGCTTGGCGTATGTAGACGATGTCGCAGCGAGCTCGCATGAGCTTTGTCAATGTCAACAGTGCTCATGTTTTATCTAACAGTTGGTTTCAGTTCCTTCCCCTCCCGAACCTCCTGCTCCTCCTCCTGCCACGAAAATGGCTGCTGCTAGTGCTACTCATACTCCTACGGTTCCTGCTAGCTTCTACGATTCTACATACGACTGCTGTGCCACTTCTTGCAACCATCAGCACCACTGCCTCTACTACTCCGACTCTACGGCTACCGCTGACACGACTTACGAACACAGCTACTGCCACATGCAACTGCTGCTCCGGCGACAACCCGGTAGCGGCAGTCGTCCTTTTTGTTTCTGGCCGTTTTCCTTGCCATCGTTTGCCCAGGCTGCTACCACCCTGACTCGAGCGCCACACTATGCCGCATTCCTTTTCGACGCTCAAACTCGCACATGGCAGGCAAGGCTTCAGAGTCTCCATCCACCAAGTACTACTTTGTTAGCTCCATCCACCACTCGTTTCTAGGGCTTCGCATTTCGCCGACCTAAAAGACTCAAATATAGGAAGCTAAGGCTGCGCAGCTCCTGCACGCTGCCATGCGCTGCCATCCTATGCCATCCTCGAGCGCAGCAACTAAAAAGCATCACCGAGAGTCCACACTTTTGCATCTTCCTCGCCAGAGAAACAATTTCGTAGAGCTCAGTAAGCAGTAGGGAGGTAATGAGGATGTAGAAGAGCACCTCGAAGAAGAAACTCGACCACGTCTCAAAGAGACATAAAGGCAGTGCTCGATGCGTGATGTCCTGGTGCGTACAGCGTCGTGTCTGGGCCTGTCCACGTGTTGCTGGTTCGGCTGCATCTGAGAGTGACTGCACAGCTCCTTCCAAATGTGGCCGGTTCTTGGAAACATGAACCTCGTTGGACAAATCACAACACCAGAAGCATCCCAACTCGGATGCTTGGTCATATGGTGCAGCTTTGTCGCTCAACGTTGCTGAGCAGAAGCATGTCAAGCTCAGGGCTGTAGACCATAAATGTGAGGCGTGCGCGGACAGTGTCGCGCATAAGCCACTCGCCTAACTTTGCCCAAGCACTGCCAGACTTTCATGTTGCTGTTGCTGTTGCTTGTGTTTTTTGTGCTTTTTGTGCTTTTTGTGTTTTTTGTGTTTTTTGTGTTTTTTGTGTTTTGTTGTTGTTGTTGTTGTTGTTGTTGCTGCTGCTGTTGCTTCTGTTGTTGCTGCTGCTTCTGTTGTTGCTGGTGTTGCTGTTGCTGCTGTTGCGGTTGATGTTGATCTTTTACGAGGAAGCCTCTCCCGGAGCAGCCGTGTGTGTTGGAGCGTTGGAGCATGAAGCTGCCAGTGGCTGGCCAAAGCAACCCTATGCTCGTCAACTTCCGACGAGTCTCTGGCAGAGAAATTTGTGAGTTGCCTGGTGGCAAAATGACCATCAGCCCCCAAATTCGCCAGCCAAATGGTTCGACTTGGTTCCTCAATGAGGCAGGAAACGGCAAAGGAAATGGCAAAGGCAAGCGCCCCAAGACTAAAGCACCCACGTTGCACCTGATGGATGAATTTGTTAGGGGCACACTCTACCTCCTACTCAGCCCATGTTGACAACCACGTATTGCGCAGGTGCCACTTCACGGCTCCCTGTGGACTGGACGAGCCTATGGTCTGATCGTGCCAGTGCTACATCCCAAAGTGCCGCAAAACATTCTCCAAGGGCTCGAGCACTCAAGAGGCCAAGTGCCAACTCATCTGTATATTATTGTCGTAAGACACATCAGCCCGAGTCGACGGCCCGAGGACCAAGAGATAATGATGAAATAAAGTTTTCATGAGATCAACTAGTGGCTTAGCCAGGAAGAGTCGACGAGCTGCAGCTCCAAACTGGCTGGCCGGCCATACACATGCTGATGCGGCTTGGCTTGATTATTTGATAAGTTAAACTTTCCTGGTACGACCAAGAATCCTCCACGAAGCTGCGCTGTAGAAGCTCATTCGCAGTTGCTTCCACAAAATGGTTATCATGATGCGCAGCGCAGCTTTTGAGTCCATAGGCTTCTGCCAAGCCTGCGATCAACGAGCCGGGTCGCCCAACGGCAGTGGCACATGACATGAGCTTTTCCGAATCTCTGTGTGGAGCCCCAAGATGATTAGCTGGTCTGCTGGTCAGAATGGCGAGGGTTCATGAAACACTCGGTGCCTAGCATCATCACACAAATGCAATGAGTCGAAATATCACGGGAAAACTGATGCCCTGCCGCTACAGTAGCACTAGGGACAGGCCAACTCCACGATACTGTACTGGGGGGAGGGACCTTTCCTTATCATTGGGGGCGGTTGTTCATGCTTTCGTTGGGCTTTCTTGCATTTGTTGGCTGCGTTCCCCCACCTGTGGCCCCCAATCAAGGAACCCGTGCAAAATTCTTCGCAAAGCATCAAGTGGCACCTTGTCGTCTACACTCTTGAGGCATGGCAACCATCTGGGCCAGTTTGACAGGGCCCACCTGCACCACGTTGCATCAGTGTTGGTTCCCATACTCCTGCTGTGGCAAAAAGGCAAAAGCGAACGTTGCTCGAGCTGCCCGCCTTGCGCGTGTATGACAAGTACCTCATCGCGGGCAGCTAGCTGTGTGAGCTTTCTAATTGCTCCGATTTGGTTGGTATTACAAGGCATTGCAGCATATGCTGCGTAATTGCAATATGTCGTTGTAACAGCAAGGCGAGGGGCATGTCGAACTCTTCCGGCATCATGGTCTCAGGTGGCAAGGTGCTCCCTTCCCGGCGAGGCCTGTCCTTGGACAGAAAGAGGGGCTTGAAGCCAAGCTCCAGCCAGGAGGAAAAGTCCTCAGTTTCCCAACGCGCTCTTGAGAACAACGAGGCGGGAAAGCTCAATGGAACCAGGAGGCTGTGTAGGTGTTCACATCATGCAGGCTCTTGTGGCCATAGTTCTCGCTGAATGCAAAATTTGCCTTAGGTTGCGAGGTCATGTCTTGCAATGTCTTGCGGAGCTTCTCACTTCTCACCCTTGCATGGCCGGCCACGGATTTGTTGCATGTGAGCATCAGGCCCTGACATTCTCTGTTATGTCGAAATTGACGGCATGCTGAAGTGCCCAGATGTCGGAGATGGAGCTTGTGTTTATCAGCGTGCACGTGTAAAGCCTTGCTTGGAGCAAGAACTCATGGCAACGTGCCGCTAATTAAGCTAAGACAGAGATGAGATATGATGAGGTATTCCATACATCTGCTGAGAGCATGACAGTACCAACAAGAAAGCGGAGGGCAAGGACTTCAATGCCCCTTCCTCGGCGATTTGGCCTCAAGGCTACCAAATCAAGACAGGTGGTGGTCGAATCTCCTAGAACGTCGTGACGCATTCGGCAGCCAACTAGTTCATGATCCGGCTAAACGGGATGTCCTTGCAAATCAGCCATCACAATCTTCTCGGGCACCCCATAATGCAGAACGTCTTCAGTTTCCAATGAAGCTTGATCGAACACCTGAGTCGACAATCACCACCTGCATCATGCCCTACGCGGGATCGAGCCACATGCTGGCGCAGAAGTAACACACTACACTCCACACAGATTGAGTATTCGACTGATCGCTCGACCCAATAGAAGATCCTGTCACGAAATCGGGTGTGCACCTGAAAGCATCCACCAAATGCTCAATGCCTGTAGCCTGTAGTTGCTTTTCTGTTATGGATGCTGACGATACAAACGGATTTATGCAGGCTGTGGGCTCGATGAAGAGGGCGTTGCAGCGTCAAGGAGGACGAGGCACCTGAGAGAGCATGAGTTGCCCAGTCATTTTTTTTGAAGCAAACTGAGAGCATCGATTTGAGACGTCAGTTGAAAAGCGCTGCATGAAGAACAAGCGCAGAACGGCGCAGAGCTTGCACAGCTTTCGGCTTCCACAAGGCTTCTCCAAGCATCGGGCTTCTAAAGAAGTGCTGCATGACGGCGCATCGCACTCGAAGCTTGAAACTTCACAAACTGAAGTGGGCCGAAATGCTGCACCGGTTCACGTTTGTCCACCTAGATGCTTAAACATGGTTAAGATGTGTAAGGCAGAAAGCGTACCTGGCTGGGCTTACTGACGTCGCCGACTGGTCACCACACGCTGACGCTGGGATTGCGGCACGTGGGGCACAGGCTGCGTCTTCAAAAATCGCAGCATCTGGCCAGGAACATCGGCCTGAATGCTGCGCTGCAGCCTTCTGTGCCCTAAGCCCTCTCAGGTCAGGTGCTACCCTTCACCTTCGTCACTGCAGACTGTAACCAGGCGGATTATATTCGACACATCAGATGTGTTATGATGGGTTCCTTTGGCCTACAGATACTCAGAGCCTTCTCCAGCTCAAAGGCCGTGCAGCGCTCCTCGTCAATGCTCCCCTTCTCAGTCCTGAACTCCAAGCACAGAAGAACAGAATGTAACAGAAGGCCCCCCCCCCCCCCCCCCCCCCCCCCCCCCCCGAAGGGAGATTATTCTTCATGCTTTAATTAAATGGCTCTTCGGTTTGACTTCCAGACCTGAGACTTAGTCGACTTGCATGGGTCCATTTCTGAAACTACGAAAACACGACCCGGCACCATGTCCCAGCATGGCGGCTTGAGCACCCAGCTTCTTCAGCAGCTCACGTAAAGCGAAAAGCCCCTCTGCAGGAGCGAGGCCTGATCACATGGATCACTGTTATATTTCCACTTGTGCATGGAGGTGCATCGCGGGGAGCAGAAAGCGTCCAGAGTCTAGACATATCTCGAGTGTAAGAAGTACCTCCAACGATTCGAATGGCGCCGTGGTGCAAGATCAAAAGTGATCAAACCACTCAGACTCCACTCAGCTCCCAGCGACCGGGGCCGCTTTCATCCGCTGCGGCCAAGGCATCCACCTTTCGGAGAAATGCGGAGGCAGGCTAGCAGGGCTTTGAAGTTTTGAAGGCGACTGGCCGAGCAGCAATTCCCCGACCGCTCACATCGCTGTGCAGAGGACTTTGCAGCTTCTCTGGGTCGCCGCGCCACTTCCACCAGCTTCCTGATTGCTCACACAGCTTCTCACACACAGCCGGCAGCAAATTGCTTGACAGAAGCCTGGACGGAGTGCCCTACATTCTTACACTGCAGCCAGGCCCTTTGCGACCTTATTTCCCTCATTCGTTTCCCCCTAAAGCGACGCCTCACCCCGCCCCAAAACAAATTCCGCCGCTGCCTTGACGTTAATCGTTAGGAAAGCGTGTGCAAATTGTGATTTCGGAGAGAGCAGACAGGAAGGGCCAAACTCCAAGACGCGTAATCTCTGCCAGCGCAAGCAATCGAAAGCTCCACCGTGCCAAGGAGCAGTTGCTGCAGCTGACCGACATGAACAAGAGCACGTGAGAAACGACAGTCGTTAATTTATCCCTGCCAGTGACGACGGAAACGAAGGCTTTACGCTGTCACGGAGACGAGCCAGGAAGGAAAGAGAGGAACCCAGTGATATGTTCAGTTCAGACACGTTGAAAGGTTTGACGCCTGTCGTGCTGCGTTGCTTCTGAAATTTGGGGTGCCCTGGACTCTGGAGGCACTCATGACACGCGAAAGTTTGCGTCCAAGCTCCCATCCAAAATCCGCGCGAGTTGCTTTGATCTTGATTCTCGACAATGCATTCCGCAGAGCCCTTCATCAGTTTTTCTGTTTGCATTGGGGGCATCGCCGAGAGAAGGAAAGTTGAGCACGCAAAGAGATCAATGCGGTGTCACTAGTGGATGAAAAATCAGACGGCTCGACTACACTCCTCCAGAATGATCGAACGACGTGGTTTTTGCCGTATTGCCTGTATGGCTCGTCTTGCGCGAGAGCCATTCTGCAAGGTGCGCCGCTTCGATCGCGTGAGGAACGGCGTGTTTGTCGACCCCAAGTCGATTGAAACCCCAATGGAAAATCCGACCGAAGCATCTGAAATCCAAAAATCGGTGTGAAGTGGGGGTGTTCGATTAGGGGCGTTAGGAGCCAAGACCGCCAAGCGACTCATTTGTTCGCCACTCAGCGTCAGCATTCTCACTCTCACCTGTGAAGCCGGGGCATGTACGCGGCAGGGCACGCTTTCTTGGCCAAGACATTGGTTGCACAAGCATCAGTAGCCTTCGCCCGACTTCTGAAGCTCTTCCAGAAGGCTTTGTGCCTCTTGGCCTCAAGAAGATGGCTTATTGACATGCCCATCTCATTCTAAGTAAGCCCAACCAACAGAAACGGCGCTGTGCTGCACTTCTAAACATACACAACATTGCAACACACGGAGTGGACGGCATGGTCCACGTTAGTGCTGGCGAAGACGAGCCAAGTTAGGAAAGCGGTGGAATCAAGCACTTGGCAATTCAGACCCTGCGGTTGGAGAGGCAACCGGTAAGGTTCCGGCTGAGCTCGTCGACAGTTACCTTCTCATTGTGAGCTTGGCGGTAGATACCGCACCTGCAGCCCGGGTCAACACAATCGCCAAGTGGCCAAATTTCAAAGTCAAATCGCAAGCCACGGGGTCGGACACTGGGGGCAAGGTCTTGCAAGATTTTGCTGTGAGTCGGCGGAAGTGGACACATGCACACAAATGGAAGCACTAGTGCAGTCAACTCGCATGATCATGCACGCCTTCACTGCAAATCTGAGCTCCAAGCAGCGCCACGTCCTTGCTGACTGATATACGCTTTGCCCATCGCTCGGCTCCGTGGCCTCCACCAGTCTCGCAGCACGTGAATTGCATGCCGCTTCTGCCAGCGTCCAGTACTCAGTGCTGTTGATCTGTTCTGTTCTATGTTCGGTACTCCACTCTCCAGCCTTCAAGCCAGGCAGTCCAATTGGACGTGTGTGCTTGCAAAGTGATTCGTGTTGATTCGTGCTGTCCCAGGTTCATCTGTGTGTCCGTGCCATGTTTTAGTAAGTTCATTGCTTTCTCTCACTACCTGCCATGTGCTCTGTGTAAATTCTGAGGCATTGGCTTCGCACCACATGCTGCAGCTTGGCATCCCCTTTCTGGTACATGGATTTCATGATGCGACCTTGGCATAACTAAGGCACAATCGCTACTCGGAAAAGACGCAGGCCCAAAGCCGATTCAGCCTAGACTCTAGACTCTAGAACAGAGTCGTCGCTCGCAACATCTCGCATTTGTGACGGAAGCTATGCGCCAGGCATCCGAGAAGGGCCACACTAAGGTTGTCAGTGCCACCAACCTCAGAGCAGCTTTGGCTCAGAGCTCTGACAAAGTTGATCCTGCTACTTGGAATGTCGCTCTAAGGTCCTCCGTGTGCATCATTTGCAACAAATCAGAGCTACGGTGCCACCTGATCCACAAGATGCAACATTTTTGGTATGTCGACGGCGCCTTTTGTCGATCCATCACGCTAGGTCTTTCCGTGCCATAAGATAGAGGTCAGTTCTGGTAGCTTCCTTATGCTGATGCTATAGAGAATCTTTCTTGGAAGTCAGCAGACCTCTCTTCCAAACTCTGCCTTTGCAGTCTGGCTCTGCGTCATGCACATTGGTGCCCGGCGGGATGCTGGACAATCTCAATGCCGAACAGGAAACGAGCCGGTGTTCATTGTATGTTCTGCACCCTGTAGAACCACATCTACTGTGTGAAAATATCCTCTCTTTCCCTGACATGTGCCAGTGTCGTGACGGTGGAGGCCTCACCTCATCGTCTTCTCCGCCCCCTGCCAGCGAGTCTGCGCCGCTTCAGGAATTTGCTCTGAAGACAGAGCTCAAGAACGAGCCAGAGAAACAGAGCCCGAGAGTGAGAAAGACAGAGGGAGAGACTGAGAGAGGGAGGACAAATGAGGACAGAGAGTGGTTGAGCAACTCGTGATTAAGTGGGCTGCTTAAGTGAGTTCAAATGAGTTCTCTATTGGGTTTTAAATTTTAATACGTATTGTTTATGTTTGCCCTTGCCTGGAGCGCGACCGTTCCTTTCGACGAGGCGAACTTCGAGAGCTTGAGGAGGCCCTCTTTGTCCTTGGAGCTCTGAAAAGCAGGCAGCGCCTGACCGTTTCTGCCCATTGAAGGTTGTAGAATTTTGCAGGGGCTGAGCGTCTTCTTATTTTTCCGAGATCTTGAACTCGAAGCCTCGCTTTCATTTCGCGTTCTCTCCTGGAGCGCGAGCTAAGCAAGGAAAGGGCATCTTGCAATTGAAGCTCCATGATCACCCCACGCTGGAAACAGAAGCACGCCTGTGTGGGCGTCTCTAGCGGCGCTGCCAGGTTCTCGTTCACTTCGCTGGCCAGCCTGGCTGCTTGGTAGTTGACCTGCAGGCTGAGACAATGGCCGGTTCACTCACCAGCTCTCCTAGCGAGGACTCTCGTGACTCTCGCGTCGTGCGTGCACAACACAAGACACATGAGACAAACCGAGGCGCCGCCGTGGAGGCTGCCCTGCAGGGTGACGAGAATGTGTGTCCGAATGTTCCCTATTTCCGCAGGTACCAGGCTGACCCGAGAGAGAGAGAGCGAGCGAGTCTCGGACAAGTGACACGGAACTTTGGCATGACTACGAAGTCGCAAACCGAAACATGGATGCTCTTACAATTATCTACAGTTGGTGCATTTATGCCTCATGTACATGTCCGAGTACCTGAACAGTTTTTTCGCAAATGCCCGCGTCCTGGCGATCATGCTGGCCACTGCCGATGTATCCTGCCTGGGGAGTGGAGGTGGCCTGTCAGCAGCTGACTTGAGTTTTTTTTTTGTAGCTCGGCGTGCTTTAACGATTTCCTTTCTCTCAGCAGCGAAAATGATGATTAAGTTGCTGAGCATTCCAACTGTCACAGTCTTTGTGCCAAGTGACGGCACAGACTCTGGAACAGCAGACACTGCCTGATCCTTGCGATGCACATGCAAATCACGAGTGGCTAGAGTTGGACAACTATGTCTCCGATCCGCGAATGCCCCAAAGCCAAGCAGCAAGTTCCACACCCTGTTGTTGGCGGACGAACTCTCGGACGCGTGCCTCATCGACTGCAACCGAAGGCTAGCAGCTTGCAGACCCTTTCCGTTCAACTCGCCAAGAGAGAGAGAGAGAGAGACAGACAGAGGAGAAACAAGAAACAAGCCCAACTACAAGCGTAAACTCAGCCAAGAAGCCATCATCTGCTCCGCAGCCTCGGGATTCGGCTCTGCCGCTCCGGGCGCTTTGACTTCGTCACTGCCCAAGGCCTGACCTCCTGCTCATGCAGAAGAACAATATTGAGCACTTTGAACAGATGAAGCCAACCAACTCCAACGAAAACGCTCAACACAACCAAAAAACACCTGCTGTCACACCAGTAGTCAGGACGGCACATGCCACGACTGTTTTTCGCATTCTTGTGGTCTGTAGCGTGTTGCGAAACCTGCTGACAACATATTATGCAGGTGTCATACACACCCTCACATCTTCTTTGAAAGGAAAACCATCTAGCACAAGCATGTGCAAGTCCAAGGGATTGGGCAAAGTAGACCCAGCGATCTGCTGTGCAACTTTGCTTGGGGCGACAGGTACTAACTACAGGCGATAGTGGGTTCCCAGCTCAAAGAGGACCACATCATGAGTCAGCCCCACGGGCTTGATCTGGAAACCTTCGTGATGTTTTGTGGCCGTAAGTTCATTGGAGCTAAAGTTGGAGCTTCGCAACTATCTTCCCTCATCCTCGATTCTAGTTCAGAGCGGTACTTGCTGGCGTGGCCTGTCGGCACAATGCTGTACATCGCATTGGACAAGGTTGCCTCCCCGTCCAAATTTCGATCGCCGTGACTAGGCCTGAGCCTTGCAACCCCCAGTACCGCGCTCTTCGCAGGGTTCGAAAGCTTACTGTGCCACCAACTCCTACTTGAGGGCGGGGATATGGCCTGACGGCCCATGAAAGTTCGCATCTTTATTTATCACAAGACACACTCGGACGTCTCTGCCGCTGCTGTTGAGGCCTTGAGGGGACCGTCGGGATATGAATCAGAGCATATCAGCATATGAGGCTCAGAGCCTCGTATGCTTCAATTTCTTTGGCTTTCGGCCCGAATTCCGTCAAAAGCCAAACTGCATCAATTAAGTTGTTCGGAGTGAATTGGACAATACGGTGGCCTGTTTAGCATAGGGTTTCTGTTTCGGAGGCATACCATCTCAGGAACCGTTTGCTTGTCTCAAAAACCATTTCATCATGTTCAGTTTTGTCCAAAGTTTGCGACTCGAGGTTGGAACGGTTCGGAACGGTTCGGAACGGTTTCGGAACGGGTTCAGGAGTTGGTGTGCCAAGGTGTTGCAAGGTCAGAACGGTTCGGAACAACTTCGGGGCAAAAAGATGCCGAATACCTGCAAATAGTTTGCATAGCCATGTTTCTGCAACAGATAAACAGCCCACCGGGTAGCCCAAGGAGTGAAGCACTACTCCAAAGAATGTACGATCTGGCACGTGTGATCTGTGCGGGGCATGCTCGGAAACACCCGTCGGAGCAAGTTCAGGAGCAGAACCTCACCAAAGGTCCTTCTCCACCAAAGAGCTGAGCCAAAGAGCATTCCTTTTGCAGGAATCGCTGCTGCCTCAGCCGCAAGAGAAGCCCTTGGGCCTTTTCGACTTTCAGTGGCTACGCCGATCTGCCACAGGAATGGAAGGACAAGGTAGCCACTATCACAGGGTTTCATGCCTGCATGTCTGTGCCATCTTGCAGCTGGGCGGGCCCTTTTGAGAACACAGAAATCCGGGACATAAGAAACTTGTACCTCAGTTGGGAATCTCACAGCACAGTGACATTAGTGCCACGGCGACAAGGCAGCCCATGCTCGCTCCGGTTTACAGCTACTTCCTGTGCAGCGGAGCAACATGTGGTTGCAAGACCATTGCATCCAAGAATCATGCTTTTCCCTGTCTTATCTTTCAGGTCGGAAGCGAAGTCCGGTACCTGATGAGCGATACTGATACTGATCTTGATAGTGACAAAGCGTCAACCTGCTCCCCAAAGGGAAGCTAAGCAGGGCTTCCAAACACCGTTCATGCCACTTCGAGGTGCTGCTGGGCACCCATGATGAGTTTCATTCAGTGCCGCTGAGATGCCTTGAGAATGTTATACACATCTGCAGCAGACAAGTCCCCCTCCTGCACTTGCTGCAAGGCTTTCTTCAGCCACCTTCAGCGAACAACACTTGCCCATGCATCGGTCGATCCCTATTCTGAGCTACCTAAAGATGTGGGATCACCTGGTTGCCGCTTTGCATTCGGATTCTGGGCCTTAGGCCTGATTTTTGCCAGTCTGGGATTTCTGCAAAGTACTTATTAAGGAGGGTTTCGTGCTCGCGGAGGGGCAAGCATCATGAGCTCTGCCTTAGGCATGACTTTCGCATGGGGAGCTGGAAGGTCCTGAAAGGTCCTGCGCCTTCAACCAGGCGCCACGGTGGGGGCGATTGATGAGAACTATAAGAACACTGCCCTATGACTCTGTCCATGGGCTACCGAAACGTTTCGGACTCTGAGGACTGAGGATAGAGTGTGTGTGTGTGTGTGTGTGTGTGCAAGCAACTCGCGCTCCGCACTCCCATGCCTGCTTCACATACCACTCCCCTTACTACAAATGATCGAATTTGGGGTGGGCGGCAGGGTGGAGCCTGGAGGTGAGAAGGGGGCAGTGATAGTGATTACTTGATGAACATGCCGCAGTCCAGAGAGTCGGGTGGAGCCATTGCATGTGTGTGTGCGATGCACTGCCATCATTTGGACCAATATGTAAATTCAGACAATCCACCCTACAGGGGTCTGGATACCACTGTAAGGCTCTCAGCCAGACTCATGTGCAGGAAGCCTTGTTTACTTACTTGCTACAGTCATTACCTCACAGCAGTCCACACGTACATCTCCCCATCTGCGTTTTAGGATCATCAGGACATTTGGAGCACGGCCATGTGCACATCAGCCCAGGCGCTTGCAAATAGACGGTGGTCAGCACACCATGCAAAGTCCAAAGTCCAAACTGCCAGTCCCAGCCCACAAGCTCCAGCAACGCACAGCATGTTCATGCTTCGCTCGCAGAAACAAATCCATCGACAGGCCACACTCATAGCACTGGGTCTGACAATCAAGCAGAAACACATACACATATTCTCAGAAACTCACGCCCAAAGGCGAAAAAATGAACTCACCGGCTGGTGCCCAAATTGGCCAAATCAACGCAGGGCCTGATATTACACAGATCGGACCTTTGCGAGTTGCTGCGTGGCTCAGACTGCTTGAGCGAGTTTTAGGTCAGGGAGTAAGGACGATGCCAGGCTTTCGGGAGACACCCTGGTTTCAAAGGTTTAAAGTCGGTGTTTCAAATTCTTCTTTGTTCGGCCGTGGGATTGCAGATACCAGGCGATACAGTCAGCAGAGAAGCGTTTACCATACTGCTTCATCGTCACAAGTTTGACGTGCAAGACCATCTGATGTGATGTGCTCACAAAGCACGCAGCAGCCCATGCAAAGTGTGATTTCGCCTCTGGACATTCAGATCAGCCGCTCTGACGGGTGAACTCAGAACCACAAGTACAAAACATCACCAACCCATACAGCATCACCAAATGCCGCCCAAGATCTTCTCTCGAGTGCCTGAGCCTTTTGCCAGAACCGCTTGCAAGTCCGTTTCGGCCAGGGCTTTTGCACTGGGCCCTGTTTTATGAGCTCTCTCCTTGGCTTTGCAGATTCAAGGTGTGTCAGCAGTCGCGGTTATGTGCAGTGACCAAGACCGTAGTCTTTATCCCTCAACAAAGACAGAATGACAGGATTGAAGAGAAGTAGCACGGGCGTACGGGCACATTATTTCATGATCTTGACTCCAGGAAATTGTGGGCTTCATCCGTTCTGTCACGAAGGTCTTTGGTGGCACGAGTGGTCATTAAAGAGGTATTGCGGTATTATTCAGGGGTCTTGTCTAGTAAGATCAACCCTTGTCTCAAAGCCCCGTTCTCGCTTCCTGCATTTCTACGAAATTCATTCATTTTGCTGTGCTCGCTAGCTGAACCATTTGTGCGAGAACGTGCAGTGTACAGACTATAGTGCATACGGCATGGCTGCGGGCCTCCGATGCGGCGCAGCATGTGCTGCACGAGCGCAAGCAGGACTGGCCCACTGCACACTTTACTTGAGCAAGGGCACGTGAGTGAGCAGCCGAGTGTGATTTGAAGCATATGCAAGTGTGCTCGCACGAGGGGAATGATAGGAAAGGCACGCGCTAGCATGCTGAGTGCCTCCACTCGTGCATATACGCGTACAACAAATCGAAGAAGGCAGGCAAAGAGTGCCAGCAAGCAAGCATTTGTGCAACAATGCACGTTTCAACGCAGCGCGCGGCATGCAGCATGCTTGCGTGCATACGGAAGCCCAAGCCTTCTACAGCATGGTGAACCCTCCCTGTTTGAAAATATTGGCTTCCTTTAAACCATTTCATTGTGGGTCCAACTCCTCAAGTAACAAAAACTTTCAAATGCCTTAACTCAAGCTTACCTTGCGCTACTGGTAGCTTCAAGGCAATCACACTCACGGGGATTTATCCAAGGCTTCATTTCGTCGAACAACTTCACCAGGGATGGAATCGTTGAGCGGATTCCTCAGTTCAGCAAAAATGATACACTGCGCCGTTGCGGCCCTAACACACACTCCAGAGGGGCGTACGGTTAGTAACCAGGCGTCGCATCTCGGTCCTCGTTTCGGCTGTCCTTCTTGCCAGATGCTCTCAGCACGGCTCCAGTGGAAGGGTCGCGTATCCTCATCAATCATCAACGCGCTTCGGCATGCACTCGGCAGCCGCAGTCTTCAGCATCCAAGCAGCTTCTGACTATACTGTGACATACTTTGGACACCTGACACGGGTGCTTGTCTTGCCACCAAGAATCCGTCCGACCATGGCTACGCGTGCCCTACCGAGAACGAACACATTTCTCACATGCTTGTCTGGACTTGAGCCTGCGTGTCCAGCGGCAAGAAAAAGGATCCATCATTGTTATTGAATGGTTTCGCAGCACTCCCGTGACACGGCGGCATGCCCTCGCTCTGGCATGGGTACCGACATTTCTTCGAGTCTTTGATCACCAGTTACTGATTTGCAAAGGTTCCAGCGACATGCTGAAGGAGCGTTGTCAGGGCGCAGAATGCCTGCAGTCATGGTGCCGCAAACAAAATGTACGGTGGAGCATCTGCTGGTGCCAGACTTGGGAGCATCGGATCACCAGTGATCACCCTGTCATGCCCTGAACTTTCTTGAACTTGTATGTAGCCGATAAGCAATGAAGCACACCACATGTCTCGATTAAAGAGCTGAAGAATTACCCTGGCCAGGATGAAAAACGGAAAGAAGTCACAAGAGGCCAGGGCTCACATGGATACCCACGTGGATGCGTACGTGGCTCTTACATGACTGGGCGTCCTTGGGGGTTTGGTTCCCTTTGTCTGCGGTGCCTGCGGCTCCAGGGCTGCCTGCACCACCTGGATGCCCCGCAAATCAGAAGCGACTCCCCCAAGTTGCGTGGCACATCTTGCAACGAACAAGCAGCTGTGCGTTGTGAAGCCGACAGAAGTACAACTATACATTATCACGGAAATCGTTTACTAAACGCAAAGTTGCCAGCCGAAACGGTTTTCGGTATGAGCACCTGCTAGAATTCATATGGTGCAAGTAGTATTAACTGTTTTCTTCTGGCTACTCTGCCCTGGGTAATACGACAAGCATTGAGACTGCGAGTGTTGCTACAGTTGCCATGAACCAAGACGCGATATATTCATCGTTTTCGCGACTGTGGGATAGGTTGTACAAGGTCAAGCATTGCTTGCGATGCTCAAACTTGTGTGGGTACTGCTCATTGCTATCTTCTTGCCCAAGCACATCTACTGCAGTCCATGGAATTTCTCGTGTGACATCGTGTGACATTGCTGGGTACTACGTTGCTACTCCGCAGTGCATATTACAATGCCTGCAAAAGGACCATCACACAGACGCACTGCGGACAGGCGGATAGACGAACACAAACACACATGCACGCATGCCCGCAAGCACGCACGCAAAGGCGCGGACATCTTTGCAATTGCTCTTCTATTGCTTGCTCGAGGCATCTGCAAATGATTTGAACAGGTTTTGTGCGTGTGGCCTCCAGTGGAAGTTCTCGAAAGAGAAGGTGCAGGACCTGAGCACGAAGCGAATTCCAAAAAACAAAAGCTGCGCCACACTATGTTTGCTTTGGGCGTCAGCCGTTCCCAAAGGACCTCCTTGTTTCCCCAATTATTGTCCTCTCTCGCCACCCGCCCAATTATAGGTCGTTGTTGGGAGGTTTGCACCTAGAGAAGCCCCATCTGTATTTGCTTTTTGGAGGCTCCATGCTTGAAGTAAGGTTTGTGAGGAGCTTTTAGGTAGCCTACTGGAAACCCACTCCAAGCCAAGGAACACTTCAGTTACCTGTTAACAAACTGCTCCATCATTGCTTTCAATAGTATCTGTGATACCTGAAACATCTTATGTTTCAAGAACCCATGGCCAGGGAATCCCCCAGGCCGGGGTGGTTTACAACATCTTATCACATGCGTGGGACGGGCCGCGCCTCCAAAATCTCTGCAGGCAGCGAGAGTGGTGAGGCGAGGGAAAGCAAGGCTCCGACCTAGGCTGATACGCTCTCGATGGGTGGTGAGTCACCATGCGTGCATGCAGATCATTGACAACATACTGCAACCACATGAAGGACCATGCACGTTACCACGAATGAGATCATGGATTAAGGCGCAAGCAAGCGTATTGTTGCGTGTAAAGTTTAAAGCACGCACTGAATTGTGGCAGCTTCGGGCTTTTATGGTCCTACTTTGGCAAAGGTCCTCCTAATGCACATGCTTTATACCAGATCTGAGAACTCTGGCAACCTTGCCGTTCTTGAACCCAGAACAGAAGGTGCTGTAGCGGGTGGCAATTGGTAAGGCCGGAACCATTTTGACTCCGAAGGTTTTCTGCCTGATCGCAAGGCGCAATCGCGGGAAGCACTGCAACATGCAACGCTGCTTGCGAAACTTTTCAATGGGGCATGCTGCCGGCAACTTGTGAGCATGTCATATCACCCACAAGTGTCTCCGTAAAGGAAGTTAGTTGTCTAGATGATGGATGCAGCTGAATCTCGATTCCTGCAGTTTAAAGACTCAGCCCACTCATCTAAGCGCTGCGCAGTTCAATGACACGAGCTGCGTGTTCCTCCTGGGAAGGAATGCCAAAAGAAGCTCTGCTATGGCTGGACACTTCCCTCGCGAAGTCCAATGCGGAACTGTCTAGAATCGTGCACGAAGCATCGTGCACGAGGCGACAACAGACTTGGGGAGGTTTTGAACAAGTGCTGCTGTATACTTGCAAGAAAGGTCAATCTGCGCAATGCAATGATGAAGGATTGGCCATTTGTTCGTCCGCCTGTGATGCCTCCAATGTCGCCTTGTGTTGGCGTAAGGCCTGAACAAGGCGAGATTCAGCAGCTACAAATACGCCCAAACAAAGCCAGAAGACATTTGCCAAGAATGCTGAAGCAACATGCGCTTGCGAATTAGGAAAGCGACTGGCGCACTATTGACACACGCTCCAAAAGCACATCATAGTCTGCTCTTGCCTCAGCGCACTGCCTGCTCAGGCAAGTCATGCACTGTGCAAGAAACCAAGGTATGCAACACCGAGGACGTTCACGCGCTGTAGGGTCGCGTGGATGTTTGCTTGCCAGGTAGGTCTCGCACAGTGACGACAGGCTACAGCTTGAACCATTTTCAGCTGGGTTTCCTAGGCTTCCGGGGTACATTGAACCCGAAACTCAACATATCTCGAACCATGCGAGGCAGTCTTGACACACGTCTGAGATCTGCAAAAAACATCCAAAACACCATGCAACATGGCAAACTGCCTTAACCAATCGCCATCTGCGCACTCGTCACGCTGCTTCCGCAGGATCAGTTCTAAGGGCGTTACCTCGGCAGTACAATCATGTACAATCAGTAGAACGAGTTCTGAACGAGCCTGTCATCAAAGCAGTGTGTCCCCGCGGAAGCTGCAGCTTTAAGAAGCAGACACCCTCGCGGCCAGCAGCATCTGGGCACGCGCCGTGCTCAAGTAAGACCTGTCTGCCAACATCGAGCCATGAATCTTGCGACACGTATTGCCACTCCGGAAGGCACACGTGACGGTCCCAGTCGACTTAGTCATCTCGAAAGTGCAGCTTTTCTGATCTGAGGTCAGACGCTGGATGCCCTGGCTCGGCACAGCGTGTCGCATGTGAAACTGTTTTGGACAGCGTCGTTTCAATGCAACCCGCAAAGCAAACTACTATTGGGATACTGGCCCTTACGATGTCTCGGATAACAAACCAAGAGACACATCACACAATCAGAAAGATAACTGTGACTACTGCCCGCTTGCCCCTGCATCTAGCAAAAGGACCTCACACTGCCATTGCCTCATGTTTCATCAACTTGGGTCTGATCCTGTCACAGTCTGCGCAGGGTCTCACGTCCAAATTGTATGTGCCGGCCTGGGCTTGCAGGACAAGTTATGCAAAGAGGTGTTTTCACCACAACCACATCACTGGATCATACTGCGCCAACAGGGCATGCCTTTTCGGCTCAACTGGTAACGTGATTTTGCTGAACTTGTCTTGGCACATCTGCAAGATTTCTATACATTCCATGTCCTGCAGGCCAAGGCACATTGGTACCACCAGCATTGAACCTTACTTAGGACTTAGGACAACCTGGACATCCGCAACTAATGTGAGGCATTCGCTGTGCACAAGCGTATTTTCGGGTTTGTTGCTTTTGGCTGGCCGCGCACCTACTTGTTTCTACCCACTGGGGGGATCTCGACATGCATACCATAATGGGTGCCCAGGCCTAGAGCCTTGCAACAAGAACCTGCTCCTCCGACGTCTAGAGCAGAGATCGGGGTACTCATGGAATCTCGGCAAGTCACCACCCTACAAGAACTTGCAGGCGGCAGGTTAGCTATGGGTAGCTTGCAGTCAAAACAAGTGGGTCAACGTCGGCTGCGCCCCAAAAGTATAAGCTTGTCAACTTTTGGGCATCCGACACACACACACACAGACACACACACACACACACACACACACACACACACACACACACACACACACACACACACACACACACACACACGTGGCCGTCCTGAGCCCCTGACGACTGGACAACAGCGGGGATCCAGCGCTTCGCGGACGTGCTGTTGTAGCTAACGCTTGTGCCAGGCGGCCAAGCCTGACGATTCCCGGCATGGCTCAACCAAGCACTGACCATGCCTAAATAAGCATCAGGCATCACAGCAGCCTTTCTGCGATGCATTGACGAGTGGTGGCACACGTTGTGTGAGGTAATATCAAGGGTGACTTGCTGCATCTGCTTCGGTCGGCACCCTTGCCACTGGCCATTCATGCGCTTCTTTCCACTCCCACACCCCGCACTGCTCTAGGCGCTTCTTCTGATGCCCACCCGGCCCTTGCCCCCCACCCCCCACCCCAAACAACTTTAAGCGGGGTCAAGGCTTTTTTGAAGCAGGATGGCCTCTACGGGCTCTTCGGGGCCCGTTCCGGGCCTCTCTCATGATCCCCTCATGTAAGTAACATGTAAGTATTGCCCCAACCAAAAAAAGCTTTCAGGTTTCAGAGCTTTGGACCGTAGCCTTGTAGGCTAGAGGGTTCGACGCTCACTCACTTTCGCACAAGGCCGGCAAGGTCTGAAGGTCATTCTACGACATTGCGCCGGTTCAGAGGCAGCATTGTTCCCAACCAGTACAGATCAGAATCATTAACAAACTCCAACAATAACCGAACAACCCAGTGTTGCTGTCGCTCACACTGCCGGACGGTCTGGGTTCCAGAGACCACAAAATGCATGGGGAAATACGACCCTTCAGATGTCCGGGCTGGACCACTTTTCAGCGTTACTAATTACTCAGAATTCTCGGCAATCGTGCACTACCCCCTTGAAAACTTCATCGCCGGGGTGTTTCAAAATGTCTTATTTCAAGGGCACCCTTGGTTGTCCGTGACTTCCGGGCGCAGAAAGAAACAAAGCTTCGAGCTTGGGGCTGCAGGCCTGAAGGCTGGAGGCAGGTTTCAGATCTTATATTGTGGGGCGGGCCGTTCTTTGTAAATGTTCCGGGCTGGGTTATTGCTCAGTTTCGGCATCATTCCGCACATTATGGTGCTGAATTACTGCGTTTCGGACATTTCCGCGTTATTGCGAACCACATTAAAAATCGGAATCTACTGGTCGTTTCGTTGATAGTCTGCTCAACTGACAGCATCTTACCTCCCCTCCGAATCCGTCCTGACCTGTCGCCTAACCCAGTGACCCAGTCTCCTGTACTGTCCACGCATCACCACGTCATCCTGCCTCTGCTTCCGCAACGTCCGGCAGCGGCGAAATATTTTCGATGGAGGCATGCTGCTTCACATCCAGATCGAACCTAAGCGGCCACTTCATGGCTGAATACACAGTTGCCATCTTTGTAGTTGGTGGCGTCTGGTTTGATAGGGATTTCTTGCTTTTTCAGAATGCTGTGGGGACATGGGGGGTAGGCCGGGGATTCTCTACGACATTATCTTACACAGGAATGCAAGCCACAGTAACAGTTCCTGTCGCATACGCTGCTCTGCATCAGAAAGTTTACGTGTAGCGATGATGCTGGTGATGACGATGATGATGATTATTATTACAACAATGGTACTAGCAAACATACGTATCGGACAAATGCAGTAGCTTCCACGTGGGTTTTTTCGTAGCTTAGTCGACCTGTGCAGGACCCCCACGCTTCGGCCCTTCGAAGCCCATCAAAAACAATCCGGCTCATCAGGCGCCCTCTGTGCCCGCACTCGCGCAGTTGGCCATGCTTTGCTCTTGCTGACCAAATCAAGAAATACCACTTTGATAACTGCTGGTAGACTATCAAAAGGGCTGCAAGAACTACCTTGTCACTTGAAGAAGTGAGGAGCGTCCCATTGGGGTGGTACTTCTCGACTTTGGCATTGATCCATCTGCAGTAAGTGGATGAATAATACCGGCATCCTAAGTTCGCAAGACAAATAGAAGGAACGTGGTGGCGGAGGCACCAATGGACAAACAAAATGTCTGATGCCTTCAGTTGCTGTTAAGCTGCTCATGCCCGCTCTCAAAGTCTGCACCGCTGGAATCTGCATCTCGGCTGCAGTCGCATGCACCGTCCTGCACGCCAGGAGGCACCAAGGCTCAGCATTCTGCAGGTCAAGGGCAAATTGCGATTGGGGCGACTTCAACATTCAGAGATTTGTGGCCTGCGGGAATAGCTTCGGCTGGAGCTCGGCTGTGCATCCGGACTTGACTCACCGGCCGCCTTTGCAAGCAAACTCGGCGACACAATTCTCGCTGCCCAGGCTGCGCAAGGATCCCACTGTAGTATCAGAAAGACGCACCCGCACGTACCACATACATACATGTTGACATATATATATGTACAGGTATATACACATAATATTGTCTCTGTATGTCCATACACAACTGTAAATCATACATCTGCTAGTGACAAGTATGTTATAGGGGCCTTTAGACGGATACAGCTGGAGCGCTCTAGTTTGTTCGTACCGTCAGAGGGCCTAAACTCTCAATCCTAATCTCTCCATGAACACCTTACTTAGATTTGGGGCCCCCCCGCACAGCACTCACTTTCAGGCGCGGGTTCAAGGGCTAAGGATGTATGAAGCCCTAAACCCTACAATAAAGCTGTCATGACGGGGCGGGGTCAAAGTCCCAAAGGTCCCAAAAGTCCGTCCAAAAGTCCGGACTTTTGGACTTGTGGGTCTGAAGTTCTGGACTCTTGGGCTTTTGGGCTTCAGATTCCGGTACAAAGCTAGCTGCAATAACTATATTGTCGATCTTGCTAATCCCTCCGGGTTGGAAGTCTAGCAGTCTGACCAAGGGTTGAACATGTGAATCACTCTCCAGTACTGTATAACTAAGTTAAGTTAAATGTGCTGGCTGTTTCGCATTAGCGTAATACCAACAAGGCACATCCAAAAGCGTCACATTGTTACTAGACGAACTGAATGGGCCCTGGTTGTTTGACACCCTCCATCCCCACCTGATCGCAACTGTTGGTGTTGACGTATCAAAAACGCGTGGTCTGCAACGACCAGCTGCAAATTGCGTTGAAGCTGCGTTCGGCAAGGCTGGACGCTAACCCAAGACGCAATTGAACAAGCATGTTCGCATGTTCAACAGGTACAAGTTGGAAAAGGACTTGGAAATGCACATCAAAGTGCAAGGAGGCGGGCAACGACACACGCGGAACTCATTTAACTTGCAAAGCACGAGCAGAAAATGAACAAGATTCAGCAAACAATATTCAGGACATTGCAAGAACCAGCTGGAACAACAAATCTGCAAGCATAACTAATCAACAGAATACCTTGATTACTGTTGCCTTACGTTCAAGCACCAGCCCAATTTATGCAGATTCTGCGAGCCTGTGCTGAAGATGCCGGGGCTTCGGAAGATGCAGACTTGCCAGCCATTGTCGCCTTGGGACAGATCATGGTTCTCAATCACAAGCTTATAGTCTCTCGGTCTCTGGCCTTGCAATTGAACTGTCTGCAGCTACTTACATCTCTTGTTGGGTTCAAAATCGCCTCCAGATCTTGAGTCATCTTCTTGTCCTTGATGAACTGCTTCATCCTCGGTGCGTGCTGCGGCACATATGCGCTACGTGTGTCTTTTCGGGCGTGTTTCCGTCCCGTGCTGCTTTCCGCAACCTTATGGCAAACCGTGTGCGCTCAACGTGTACCGGAAGCCCTAAGCTCAAAGTAGTGCCGGGTGGCTGCACAAGCATTTCCCACTGGGACTCATTCTGCTCCTTCTGCAGTCGGTTCTGCTCCATCTGAAGCCGGCTCTGCTCCTCACGCAAGCGGCCTTGCTCTTCATGGCGCCTGCGCGTCAAGAAGCGGGGAACTGAGCGGGGAACTGATGTCACCTTTAAGACCCTTGTCGAAGGATAAAATTGATAAGGTTGCCAGGCTCGTGCGCAGCCTCAACTGCTCCTCCAATACTTGGATCCTTGGCAGGTCTCTCCACCAAAGAC